TGTCTTGGGTTCCTTCATGTGCAATAGGTGCCTTAGCAATTGAAACTGGATCAATATCAACTAAGCTCTCATTACTCTGAGAATCTATCTTCTCAGCTTTGTCAATATCTTCAATAGTTTGGTCTTCAAAGAATATTGCATCACGACTTCTAATAAGTTTATTGTCAACTGGATCATAAAAACGATACCCAAACTCATCTTGACCATAACCGATAAAGATGCACTGCTTTGTTTTGACATCCAGTTTCGATCTCTCATCTTTAGGAATATGCACACAAGCTTTACACCCCAAACTCTCAGGTGATCATAAGAAACATCTTTGGCAAACCAAACTCTGTCTGGGACATCACCATCCAAAGTAACAGCAGGAGACAAATTGATAACATAGGCAACAGCGTTAAGTGCTTCCGCCCAAATTGTATTTGGAAGTTTAGACTCTGAAAGTAAGCATCTAACTCTCTCAACTAGAGTTCTATTCATCCTCTCCGCCAAACCGTTCAATTGAGGCGTCTTGGGCGGAGTTTTCTGATGACGAGTTCCTTGTTCCTTGCAATAGTTATCAAAGGGACCACAATATTCACCACCATTGTCAGTGCGAATACATTTTAATTTCTTCCCCGTTTGTCTCTCAGCTAAGGCCTGAAATTCCTTAAACACGCCAAGTGCTTGATCTTTAGATTTCAAAGGATACACCCAGAGCTTACGAGAATGATCATCAATAAAGGTCACAAAGTAAAGTGCACCACCTTTTGACTTTACTTTAAAAGGACCACACAAATCAGAGTGTACTAGCTCCAATAAATCGGGCTTTCTTGAGGGAGGATGACTATGAAAGGAAGCCCCTTTCTGTTTGCCAGCTAAACAATGGATACACCTTTTCAGCTTTGCTTGTTTCAATCCAGAAAGCAAACTTTTCTTAGCCAAACACGTAATCCCCCTATCGCTCATATGACTCAATCTTCTGTGCCACAATTCTGATAAAGTATCACCTTCCACCATATTTATTGAGTCATTAAGAATAGAGCCCTGTGTCACATATAAATAACCAGACTTGACTCCGCGAGCCACTACTAACGAGCCCTTAGTGAGCTTCCATTGGCCATTAAAGAGGGCATTCTGGTAACCTTCATCGTCTAATCTTCATGCGGAGATCAAATTGAAAGGAAAGTCTGGAGCATGCTTGACATCTTGAAGAACTAACGTTGAACCATTATTAGTTTTCAAACAAACTGTGCCAACACCAAACACCTTAACTTCACTGGCATTGCCCATCTTTAACACTCCAGAATCAACAGCAGTATAAGATGAGAAAAAATCTTTTCTTCGTGTGACATGTGAGGTAGCTCCAGAATCTACTATCCAGCTAGTCTCATGATAGGATACCAAATTGATGACGTTTTCATCATAAGCAAAAAGAAGGTCATCTCGAACAATAGCAGCAACATTGTTCTCGTTATTTTCAACTTTCTTTCCTTCTCTAGTGTCTTGATTCAACTTGCGGCAAAACCTTTTGATGTGTCCTTTCTTGCCACAGTGGTTGCATGTAATATTATAGTATTTGGACCTTGACTTACTTCTACTTTTACCTCTATTCCTTGAGCCTCTTGTTCTATCTCTCCCCCGGTCTTTTGTAACCAAGATATCTGCTTGTGAGGACGAACCCTGAGATTTTCTCCTTGCTTCCTCTTTCAACACACCACTCTTGGCATATTCCATGGTCACCTTACCTCCAGGAGTTGAATTTGTCAAAGAAACACGAAGAGTTTCCCAAGAGTCTGGTAGAGTATTAAGAAGCCAAAGTCCTTGTATCTCATCCTCAAAATTAACTCCCATTCCAGATAGCTGATCAAGGATGCCCTGAAAATCATTTATGTGATCAAGGATAGGGCTACCTTCCTTGTATTTAAAGGTCATCAATTGCTTTAGCAGAAACAATTTGTTGTTCCCGGTTTTTGAAGCATAAAGAGTCTCTAGCTTTTCCCACAATGATCTCGCATGTATCTCGTTCACAATATGGTTGCGAACATTATCTTCAACCCATTGCCGTATATATCCACATACTTGTTGGTGCTCGAAATCCCAATCTTCATCGGATATACTCTCGGGTTTATGAACTGAAAAAATGGGTAGATGCATCTTCTTCACGAACAACAAGTCTTTCATCTTGCTTCTCCAAACATTATAATTTCTCCCATTTAAACATACCATCTTGCTCATATTCGCCTCCATTCCGTAACAACCCGGATAAATAACCAAGGCTCTGATACCACTGTTAGGATCGAAAAAAGTCAGTGTCATGCGGAATCTAGCAAAGCAAACATTGAACGACGATAAATCACACAACAAATAGAAATCTACCAAAAGAGACACAAACATTTAACGTGGTTCGGTCAACTGACCTACGTCCACAACGGAGATGAGCAATCTACTATAATAAAAAGAGAGTACAAAATATCGAGAGAACAACCTCACGAAGAGGCAAACACAAGTGACACACTAACACTTGTCCCGTAAAGTTCTCCCCCTAAATAAGACTCTCAAGCCCCCTATGGCTACATTGTGGATGCTACTGAATGTGGAGGAAGGATCCTCAATTTATAGAAGTCCAAACCTTTTCCTACAAGGAAAAGGACTAGCCAAATATTGGAGATTTATAATACCTTTTACAAAAAGGAAAACCCAATCAAGGTAATTATATTTCCCTTTCCTTCAAGAGATAGGAAAACCAAATATGGTAAGAAAATTATGGCAAACACCTAACAATTCTCCCCCTTGGCCTGAATTTTCTGACAAAATAAACTTGATCCATATTCTTCACATAGCCTTCAATAGGTCGCATCTCCAAATCTCTGCCACAAAGTTTGTCTCAACGTGCGTAGCACTCCGGTCAAATTTCTCAGACAAAAAATCACGATTATCGTCAAATATGTTGCAGTTAGAACTGAACCCGCCAAGATGAACATGTCTTGAACCTCGCTAAACTTCTATGGCATTCTTAGGACATGCAACACAACATATATTGATGGTTGTTGCCTCATGCAAAGCCCTTCTGCCTGATGCTCCTTCATAACGCATCGTTAGCACACGTTGCCTCCGCGACTGACACTCGTCCTGCTTCCTTGTAGCACGCAGTCCTCATGGATGACATGACCCCCAAAATGCGGGGTGTGACATCCTCCCACACTCAACATTGTCATCGTCCCCGATGACACATCAATGCCCACGACAACCTGGAGTCTGCCCCCTCGGGGATGTACACTGGCTCCCTTAGTCCTTGTGGGTCGGACTTCCTCAAAGTCCATTCTCAAAATGGAGTCGTGCTCATTGATACAAGTGTTTGAAAGACTTAAGCACATAAGAGTGGTTTAGAGAGAGCTTTCATCAAGAGAGAAGAGAGAAGAAAAGTATTTATTTTGCTGCAGATTTTTATTTCGACCAACCAGTTTCAAATCACGTTTTCCGATTCGTTAACCGTTGGATCAGTCTAAAATTTTGACTGAGTGTTCGTAACATCTTGGTCTTGGATTTGAACGGTGAAGATCGGATTTAGAGGCTCGTAGCATCTGATTTAGAGCCTCAAACAACAGTTTCGTTTTGTGGATTATACTCTTTCTTCAATTGATTAGTTGTTGCTCTTGTTGCTCCGTGTTTGGCCCTTGTTGTGTAGCCAATTTGGAGAACTTTTGTAAACCTCTTATTGTTATAGTAGAGCTTTTTGGATCTTTGTGATCCCGTGGTTTTTACCTTCGATTTGAAGGGTTTTCCACGTTAAAATTTGATGTTCTTTATCTTCTTTATTTTCGAGTGTGCCTCTTCCTCAACATAACAAAGATAACCTGTAAAATATCTTCTAATATATAGGCAACTACCCTAAGTTGTGTCACAAAATGCTTCTAGACTTCTTAACCTCTCAAGAGGCATCAACAGTTCAAGACCTAGTACAAATTTGATGTACCTCACCACTCTTAATGCAACCTCTATATGTGATTGCTTTGATTACATTTGCCTCCCGTAGTGTGAGTGCACCACCAAGCCCCGTTTCCGCAACTTAATTCAATGCATACGTCCTGTGGCTGTCACAACGTAGAACCACCAACGATCGTGACGACACTAATATGCAAGCTAGGCGAACCAATAATCCCAAATCCTTAAATAAAGCCACTAACATAAATATAATAAGTGTAAACATGTTCAATAATATCATAGATAGGGCTAAGTCTGGTAACCAAGTACGAAAATATATATCATCCTCAAATCTGGTATCACTGAAATTAGTTAAATTAAATTCTCGTGCTAATTAGTTAATTTAAACACTTAATTATTTATAGTCAACATAAAAGGAAATAGTCTATTTTTTTGTTGATTTAAATTCTTCATATTAGGTCGTCCGTAAGTTTAAATATTTAAGTGTAATTTTAATTTTATCCAATAAGAATTATATTATCAAAGCGTAATAAGATTAATATGAAATTCACTTTTAGATCTTTGTATCTGTAGAATCATTAGTGTAATTGATTATTAAATGAATCATACATTTTATATATTGGTAAAACTATTTTAGACTAACTTGGATAGTCTATATTTAGAATTTGGAATTTTAACGATATAAAATCTTTAGATGGATTAAGTTCCTAAATATTAGGGATTTAATATAATTCAATAAGAAAAGATTTAATAACTAAAGATTTAGTTGATTTAAAAGTCATTAATATTAGAAAAATAATTAAATTATATTAATAGTTTTATTCAGTATGAAACATATTTTTAAAAGATAAAAAAGGCGAATCATTTCGGTAAAAACTTCATACTTCTAATATAATATTAATATAAATATAAATAGATACATTTTCCTATCTTAATTTATTTCATAACAAAGCTATTAATTAATATGATTTGGACTTTGGCATAAAAATCAGGTAAGAAAATTCTACGACTAAAAAGTTTGGAATGAAAACACTCAAAAGTTTGAAGGGTATAAGTATGATTATTAATCTCACAAGGGAGGGGACATTTGCAAATTACAAGTTTCATAAATTGGAGGGAAGCCTACAATTGACCCTTCATATAAAAACCCTAGACGCGCGAACAAATTGAGACGTTGCGCGGGAAATTTCGGCGACGAAAACACGAGGAGCGATAATTTTCGCAAAATTGAATAGTAGGTTTAATGGTGAGATGAGATATGACTGCACTTTCACCATCAGCAAGGCTTTGTAAGTTTCCTCAACGCTCAATTTCTTAACTCAGTGAACATTTTATACCTGGATGTTCATTGATCGATCCCAGTTTTGATTTGTTCGTAGAAACTGTATGATCTGCTGCAGGTTCTTCTTTGATTTGTTTGATGACTTGTCTTTGTCCTTTGCCCATTCAAATTTTCTTTACCAATTGCCATTTAGCTACTTTACTATTACTACTTCTATCTCAAATTATGTGGCCGCTTTTCTTTTTAATCTGCCCCAAAGAGAACTCATTTCTATATTTAAAAATAATTAAACTTCAAAATTCTCATTTTACCGTTAATGAGATGATTTATAGTCACACAAATGTATAGGTGTTTACCTCGAAAATGCGAGTAACAATTAAACTTGTTTATGGTTTTAATGATACGTGATTTAATTCAATATTAATTAATAACCAAGAAGTATAAGGTGTGAATGAAAGAAGTAAATAAAATCAAACCAGTGTACAAGCCAGTCTCAGCCTCGAGCTAAGGCGGCCTCGAGGTAGGTCAAGAACAATAAAGTAAGAACAACAAAGCTAAAGGACAATTCTGATGAAATATGAGCAAAAAAGTAAGAGAGTATATTCTTTGCCAATGATTATGATGGTTACAAATGATTGGGGTTCCCTTTATATAATAGGGGAACCCTAAATAAGGTACATTTCTATTTACAATAAGGAATCTTATCGGAACAGCTGTCTAGCCGCCTAGTACGGATTCGTTCTAACTCGTACAAATCTATTTCGGAATTTACGCCATGATCTTAGGGACGTGGCGGGAATCTTGCTCTTTCTGTTACAAACTCATAACGGCATCATCTCGGGGTCGGTCGCTCTCGGCTTTGGCGCTCATTGTGTACTTCGATCTTCGAGCTATATTCAGTCGTCAGGCTCGAGCTTGATCCATCTACCTCGAACTTGACCCATCCTGAACTCGGGCTTGAGGCGACCCCTCGAGCCCGTGAAATCGGGCATACCTGATTTCGACCGTATACAGATAGTCCTCGCGTTTCTTAGGGTAAGATGATTAGAAACGATTTGATCCTCGATGCTCCGATACCCCGATCATGATGTCAATCTCGTGACGTCAGCGACTGAAGTGATTGAAAGGTCCTTCTGCATAGTTCCCAAGGCCATTAATTGAAGGCGACTGATGGTCGGCCATTAGCTTCCCCAAACTGTTAAGGCGACCGCTATAAATAGGTCAATTTTACAACATCTACAATCATTACTTCTCAAATCTTTCTCAAAACCTCTCTAGCTTCTTCATCTTCTCTGAGTTTACCCTTTCCTGAATTTGTTCTTGCTACAACATCATCTCCTTCTCTTCTTTCGAATTTCTCAACAACATCAATGGTTAAAACATCTAAAACTATTCCTCAGAAAGAAAAAGCCTTCTCATCACGTCCAGCTGGTGGTAGAACGGTGGCGCCTTCTCGTATTGAGGAGTGCATTCCCGGGCCATGTGAGCTATCTTTCGATTTCAAGGTCGATAAGCCTGCGTCGGTCTCAGGTTGATGTGAACCTATGTCTCGATACCTCTGTTTGATAACTAAAGATGAATTCGAGCAGGTGAAAAAAGACTGTGGTTGGGAGAACAAAGAAGTGGTGATCCATTCCCTAGAGAAGGATATAGGATACCTAAGTGTGTATACTTATCCTTTCGCACTGGGTCCCGCAGATGCAGTAACGGGTCTTGTGGATCCAGTCATCCTCGATTTTTGACACTAGTATCAGGTGACCCTTGGCCAGATCTACCCTTCTTTTTGGCGTATCGTCAAATTACTCAGGTTCTTCTCGGGCAAGGTCGAAGGGGGATTGCCTTTTACACTTGACCATTTGATCAGGCTATATAGCCCTCGCCTCTATTGAGGCGGTTTGATAAAGCTCCAGCGTCAATCCTCGAAGTCGCTATTTTCTAGCATCGATGAGGACAAAGACCGAGGGTGGATGAGCCGGTTTGTCCGAAGCAGGACTTCCGATGTGATCCTTGTCGAGAGGATGCCATTCCCCGAGGAGTGGAACATGAAACGTAAGTACATGCTTATCGATGATGATCAATATTCTGCTTTCTATATTCTTCCTCGATTTAACTCCCTTTTGATGATGCAGCTGCCCCTTGGTTCCCTGGTGCGATTCCGGATCTCGCCGGTTGGGTCCGACAAATGGCCTCTACCTCTTTTGTACGCAGAACGCAGTTGGCGTGATTTGGCCAAGTATCGGTGGGAAGCTAAAAACCATAGTGAGTTCCATTGTTCATATATTGGTGTTTCTTAGTGAAATACTAACTTTACTCTTACGCAGGCCTCGGAGAGGCCGTTGCTGTGCGGCCGCCCCCTCCCGGTGAAGAAGAAATCCCAAAGCCAACCAAGGAGAAGTAAAGGAAGAGGGCTTCGCCTGCGAGTTCCCCGAAGCCCAAGAAAAGTAAGGCTCGAAAGCCTAGGGTCGATCCTGCGGCCCTATCTGCAGAAGCGGTCCAATATCTTCGGGATGATGAGTAGGAGGGAGAAGATGACAACTATCTGTTGGTAGCTCGGAAAAGAGGAAGCACTGAGGCTTCGAGATCCGCCGAACCGGTGATGGTTGATGCAGCTCATTAACTGAAGAAATCTCAAAGGGGAGTTCGAGCAAAATCCCCGAGCCATCGGGCGGATAAAGTGCATCTCGTCCCGGAGGACATTTGGCGGGCGAGCCTGAGGAGCCTAATTCCGAGGCCCTCCAAAGAGAAGACAATGTCCCAAGTGAATCACTTGGGATAATTAATGTAGATGAATCGCCGTCGGGCCCCGTGCTCTCCGAAGGGCAATTTCGATATGCCCAGGCCATGAGGACTCCTGATATGGGAACGACCCATGAAGGGAGTGATATTTTCCGGGAGTGTCTTGCAGGGGTCGAAGATGGTCCCGACCCTGATGCTTTGTTTATCTTTGATGAAGCTCAAAGGCTTCTCAAACAAGTAAGTTTCTGCCTTCATAATTATGCTCGAGTTTTATTCTTGTTTTTCCAAGTTTGACTCCTTTTCTTTGTGTGAAGGCCGTGGCGCTTCATCAACAAGCATTTTCCAAATCTCGAATCGAGCTTGCCCGATGCGAAGCCGAACTCAAGAAGCTGGTGGAAGAGAGGGACAACCTCAAATGCCTCTATGTACAGAAAGAGGAGGAGGTCAGGGATCTCCGAGTTGAATTGGTGAAGGCTCGTCAAGAACAGACTGAGCTCATCGAAAAAGGTAATGTAGCCTTTGGGGGTCTGTTATGTATTCATTTGATTTAGTCATTAACACTTCAACTTTGTAGGCCCAGCAGAAAGGCGAGCTGGTGGAGCAGCTTCGAGAAGAGCTCAAGGTGAAAGAGGCTGAGACCCTGGGGTGGAAGCAACACATGGACCGTCTCGCTTATGAGAAAGATACACTTCGGGACCAGGTGGCTTCGATCGAACGCTAGCTTCAAAATGCAAAGGGGGAAAGCTTGGCTCGGAGCCGCAAGACGAGGAGCTCGAAGCTAAATCTGCCGTGAGCTTGCGAAGGCCAAATCTGAGGTGGAGGCATTTGTGTACTAGTGTCGAGCTGACGCCGAAGCTGCTAAAATTCGGGCACAGGAGATTTCAATTGCGGCTGAAGTCAAATTATCATATGCTCTTGATTACTCTCGAGGAGGTGCACGCTTGTGGCTTCGACTTCTCAGCTGATATTGAAAAGGCAAAAACTTTGGAGGACGAGGCTGCTGCTTTACTTTCTGATGATGAAAATTCTGCTAGTGGCTCTGAGAGCGAAGGAGGCGAGGATGAAGTCCCCGAGGAGGAGGTTCCCGAAGTTGCGGCTCTCAAAGACGTGGCTCTCGAGATGCGGCTCCCGAGGATGTGGCTCCCAAAGTAGATTAGGCTCTTTTGTTTTTTGTTTTTGTGCAAGTCCCCTTGTGGGCACTGTAAATACCTCTTATGAATATAAGGAATTCTTTTTCTTCCCATCTCCGATTTGTTTTGAATTCAGCTTCGTCTTCGTTTTGTGAAATTTTTTGATTTTATAACTTCAATGATCGAGCGAGCGCTGGCTTGGCCTCAGAGTGGAACAATCCCTTAGGGGTTTTAACAATAAATGGGTGATCTTTGAACTTATAATGGAATACCTCTTAAGTTTTATTTTTGACGAATCCTCGAGCTATGCTTAAGTCAATTTGACGCGAGCTCGGGATGATGGGACCTTTAGGTCCGAGTTGAATGAGAACAAGGTCTCGAACTCTAAGTGTATCGACCTTTTAGGCTCACTGAATTGGCCTTTAGACTCTTTTATATTGGCCCTTGGGCTCTTTTTGGTCGGCCTTTAGGTTCTTTAAGTTGGGCCAATTCGGACTCTAAAACGGCTATAATTTTTTCCTCTTTTCGGCTAAAAGACTTAGTGAAATTTCATTATGCCTTAGCATGTGTTTTTCGTACCTGTTGGGTTTTTCGAGGGTTCAATCGATCATAACCCAACTTTTAATCCGTTTGTGTTAGGATAGTTTAATACCTCTTGAGGCCTTCTCAAAGGCTCATATTATCGAAGCCTTTAAATTATTCGAGGGATGATTTTATTGAAGCCCTTTTTTACTTGCTTTGCCGAGGGTACCTTATTTAACCGGTTTTTCAAAGTATTTGAAGGACTTTAACTTATGGCGGAAGTCGGACGTCTTCGAGCCCTATTATTTCGGCCGTAGCCTTTTTATATGACCGTAGTCTTTAATATGGCCGTAGCCTTTGGGTGTGTCTCTTGGACTTATTTCCCGATAACCTTTCGAACTTATCCGAAAGGTTAGTCCCCGAGTATGATGGCCTCGGCCTTTGCATCGAGGGATGCCTCTTTGAGGTCTTATAAATTCGAGTTTAGATATTTGACTGTCGATGACTGTCCCCGGGTATTCGAAGTATATTCGCGTTTTGGCCCTTGAGCCGTTTCTCGCAGAATTACAAGTAGAATTTTCGTATAGTAGCAAATTTCTTTGAGACATAAAGTGTTTTGTGTAGAAAGAATGCTTCTTCGAATAATTGATGTATGCGTACATGTTTTGCTATCGGGGCTCGACTATTCTATATGGACACGGTTCGGAATGGCATCTTCTATATGGAAAGTCACCCTCAACACTTCGGAATTGGGGACTTAGTTCTACGGAAAGTCACCCTCACACAAATGTATAGGTGTTTACCTCGAAAATGCGAGTAACAATTAAACGTGTTTATGGTTTTAAAGATACGTGATTTATTTCAATACTAATTAATAACCAAGAAGTATAACGTGCGAATGAAAGAAGTAAATAAAATCAAACCAGTGTACAAGCTAGTCTCGGCCTCGAGCTAAGGCGGCCTTGAGGTGGGTCAAGAACAATAAAGTAAGAACAACAAAGCTAAAGGACAATTCTGATGAAATATGAGCAAGAAAGTAAGAGACTATATTCTTTGCCAATGATTCATGATGGTTACAAATGATTGGGGTCCCCTTTATGTAATAGGGGAACCCTAAATAAGGTACATTTCTATTTACAGTAAGGAATTTTATTGGGACAGCTGTCTAACCGCCTAGTACGGATTCGTACTAACTCGTACAAATCTATTCCGGAATTTATGCCATGATCTTGGGGACGTGGTAGGAATCTTGCTCTTTCTGCTCATAACGGCATCATCTCGGGGTTGGTCGCACTCGGCTTCAACGCTCATTGCGTACTTCGATCTTTGAGCCTTATAATCTGTCGTCGGGCTCGAGCTTGATCCATCGACCTTGAACTTGACCCATCCTGAACTCGGGCTTGAGGCGACCCCTCGAGCCCGTGAAATCGGGCATACCTGATTTCGACCGTATACAATAGGGCATGTTTTAGACCACACGTTTTAAAAATGTAGAACAATGCAACATTATATGGCACGTGAGGAGTAGTATTATTGTGTAAATGAACTTCATAGCGAGAAGTACGAGATTCTAATAAGCAACCTATAATCGTACATACATTTATGTCTTTATCTAGACGGAAATTCATGTAATGGATGCAACACATAGTTTGCTTGAAAGAATTCCACAAAGAGTAGGTACCCAGTGGAATAGTCGAGATGTGCGCAAGCTGACCTGGACACTACAATCAATCGTCATAAACAGACCCAATAAGAGCATATTACATTATTATCTGCATGTTTTCCTATACTACGTGTCTCCATGTTAGAGTTGTAGTTTTAATGACATTAAGCTAAATGCTAGAGCATATTACAATAGTATCTGCATGTTTTCCTATACTATGTATAAGTCTACATGTTAGAGTTGTAGCTTAATGAGATTAAGCTAAGTGATGGGAACTTCACAGTTTTGCCCTATATGTCATTGGACTTAATTTATGTAGTATGTCATATTTTTTATTTGTACCAGACAATTAAATAAGTGGAGTAAACTCGTTTTGTTGCAAGCTTTGTGCTAATACAGTTTTTTTTCTCCAGAAAATTTGGTGTAGTAGTGGCTCAGGGTTCATTGAAGTTTAGTTTGAATTTGAAGTTACCTTTCAAGCCTTCAAGAAATATTCATATGGAAAACAAAGAAAACAGCAGTTCAAGAGGTGCCTTAATTGTTTTAGAAGGGCTTGACCGCTGTGGGAAGACTTCACAATCTAGCAGACTATACAAGTACCTTGATGAGCAAGGATATTCAGTTGAATCATGGAGATTTCCTGACAGGAATACAGGTGTTGGGCAAATGATTTCTTCTTATCTTGCTAACCAGGCGCATTTGGATGACCATGCGATCCATCTTCTATTCAGTGCAAATCGTTGGGAGAAGAGGTGTGCCCATTACTTTGGTGATTTTGAACCGCAGTAAATCATTTAGAAATTTGTCAGACTCAAATTGTGATGTCACTAGAGAACATGTGTGGAAATGCAGGCCAGCTGCTCGTTAATTATTCTCATATTTTTTCTGTGCTAGTTTCGAACTAATAAGCAAATGTTTCTGTTTTTGACAGAGAGCTAAAATTATCTCTGTATAACATCGAAAGATGAACTAAGTGGTGTTGACGTTCTCTCTGCTACTATCTATTTAAATAGCTACTTGACAAGCTCTCTGCATAGATTATCATTTTTTCCAGGAAAGTATGGCATTAACAGACCGAGAGCATGTATAATATGCATTTGTGTTCATCAACTATCTTAGGTTGTTGCTCTAGGATTTTGGTTTAGTAAAAAGGATGCAACAAGTGATATGTGGTTTAGGTGCATGTCACGTTTTAACTCTGCTGTGGATAAAACTTGGTATTTAAGTTGGGAGGAGGGTAAGGGGCGAGTTCATACTCCCCCGAGTTTGCAACCTGTGTGCTAGTTGGAATCTGGCTAGAACCTGCAGTAGAGGGAAAAAGCTCCCTTAGATTATTGAAAAATTTTCTTTGAATTTACTTCTCCCGCAATTAATCATGTACCTTTTCTTGAATATGGTATGATCTTCTTACCAAAATGGAAGTGTTGATGATCTTTTGCCTGGTTTTTTATCTATTCCCTGCCAATAGTCTTGTCTTCAACATAAGGCACCAATCAAAACAATAAAACTTATTATCTTGATATGTAATTAAGTACCAGTTTTCATTTTCTTTAACAATATTGCAATGAATTGTATTGTCATTTAACTGAAAGTTTTACCTGTTATGGTAGCTAACACTTTTACTTCCATGTCCAACTCTTTCTGTAAGAATTTTCAGGCGAATCAGCTCAGTATTGTTAAGCTGGTGCATTCAGATAGTTCTAATTTTTCTGTCCAATTCTGCAGGATGTTGATGGAGGAAAAGCTGAGGAGTGGAACTACTCTCATTGTTGATCGCTATTCTTATTCTGGAGTAGCATTCTCATCTGCCAAGGGACTTCATACTGAATGGTGTAAGGTAACATTGAGTCTTACTTCCTCAACATTGCTATTTAGTTTCTCAAATCAGTTTTAGCAACGAGATCTTTTACCGCAGGCTCCAGAGATAGGGTTGTTAGCTCCAGATCTAGTTGTATACCTTGACATATCACCTGAGGTAGTTTTCATTATCTAGTCTTGTCTTTCTTCACTCGTCTTATGTTTAGGAGATAGTCTGTGAATTGAAATTTCCACAACTGAAGTCTAAGTCTGGATGAGTGTGGATTTCTTAAGCAAGCTCTGGTCCTGCCAGATATGCTCCTTTCTAATCCAGGATAAAGCTTTGCTATTTCAGTTTATATTTCTAGTTGTTTGCAGGTTACCCATTGCTTCACTTGTTAAATACATATGTTCTTTTTCATCAGTCATTATATTATATGAAAGATATGCTCCTGTAGTGATTTGATTGTGGATATTGATGATTTGGTCTTGAAAATAACCAGAAAGCCGCAGAGAGGGGAGGTTATGGAGGTGAGAGATATGAGCAGCTTGAGTTTCAAAAAAAGGTCGCCAAGTCTTATTTGACTCTTCATGATTCCTCGTGGAAGGTAGTTTTCCTTTGTTTTTTTCTAGTTGCATCAACAAATGATGGTTTAATAAAAGGTTATGTAGCAAGTGATATCATCTTAAACATTGGAATACTTTAACTTAGTTTTACTTTAGTACTCTTTGAGTTTGTTTGGACGTTTCCTATCAATTTTTTTGTATCGATTACATGAGTATAGTAATTAAGGTTAATATAAAAGCATTAACCTTATTAAATTATGCTATCTAAATTGATTATATCCTATTAGTTAAGACTCTGGTCTTATATTCTTTGAAGCTTTTGATACATTAATTACTTTCGTTTACAAGATAACAGACATCCAAAGCCCAGGCAATAACTTTTTTTTAATTGTTATGTCTTTGCTGTATTGTAGGTTATTGATGCAACCCTTCCTGTTGAAGATATAGAGGAAAAGCTCAGAGAAATCGTATTAGACTCCATGACGATATGCCAAAAAGGGAAACCATTGTCTCAATTATGGTCATCGTAGGTCTAGTGTGCTGAATATCGCCATGAATATGCAAGTCCCTCTGTAACATGTCTCCTTTTAGTTTGAGTTTGGCATATATTTATCTTCTCAGCCATTCCCTTGTTAATGTGGAAGTACTTTGTCTTATAGATCCCTGTATACCAGCTTGCTGTGAGTTGAATTTTCTCCACATTTTTTGGAGTGTGTGTATCTGGATTAAGTCGTGATATTATGGAGTCACCTTCTTCTGTCGATTGAAATTTGCATGTTTTGATGATGTTAAAGCCAAAATTTCTTTCTTGATGATGTTGCTTGTAGGGGTGCTGATTTTCTGGAAACTGCATTTTCCCTGGTATTCCAAACGGCCCTAGTCTTCTTGCCTGTTGCTTTTGGTGAAAAAAAGAAAGAAAGGGTGTTCATGAGCTTAGTTGTTTAGCACTATTTTCAATCTTAGAGAGGTCTCTGTAATTGTGTTTTTATAATAGTTGAGAAACATTGACATGAACATAAAGTGGTACAACTTACATTTGATGAGTGAGGCTTGCCTGCTAGTAGAATATTTCCATCATTAATCGGTAGGTTTGAGTTCCAGTTGTGTGGAAGGTAAGTGAGGCACTTTTGAGCTTCCTAGGATCGGCTGGAGGGCAATTTTTTCAATTGAATTTGATGATAGCAGTAAATGCAGGTGAAAGAACAACTACTTGTAGACCTCAGAGAATCTTCCTCAGAAAAGGAGCCTCAAGTTTTCATCTTCTAGGGGACGACTATAGTACCGTGCAGGCTACTGAATCAACGCACACATGGCCTCGTGGACTTGCGTCGTTCAAACTACTGCATTTTCTCTAATCACATTACTGAACTATTTATTCTGCTCTTTGAAAAGGGCTGTAAAAGTAAAGATCACAAGAAGCATCCAGACGAATGTGTTTCAGTAATTGATTCAAGAAAGAACAATCTCATTTTGCTTATTGTGAAGAATATTATTTTATGAATAGTGACCAAGGAAAGTCAGTGAGGACCAATGTGCATACATCCCTATTACGTGTTTAAGGAGGTACATTGCCTCACCGCAGTTGATACACAAACAACATTTGTTGGAACCAGGGATCACTATCAGTTATCAATGGCACAATCCGTCTAATTACCGTATGCTTTTTCCCTCCAAACTATATTCACATTACAAGTTTTCCGTCCCCTTTTCTACTGGAAGTAACTCTTGTTTCTTCATGAACCAAGTATTATCATGAGTCAAGATTAGGGTGGCAAACGGGTGGGTCGGGTCGGATATGGACATGTCAAAACGGGTAATGCAAAAAAAAAAAAAAAAACCCCGGATAAATTATTCGAGCCGACCCATTTAATACGGATAGAAAATGGGTTAACTGCCGGATAATATGGATATCCATATTATCCATGGCTTCATATGATCACTTTTGGGAGAATTCCTAGTCTCTCAAACAGAGATAATGTCAGCTCATGTCATAGAATGCGACATCAGTGAGAAATGTGATTTATTTATTTATTTATGCATTCGTTCCAGTTTTGCTGGTAAGCCCATGATTTCTTGCTGGAAGCAATTAACAGTGCTTAGTTCTTTCTGTAAATCTAGCTTCGAGAGATGCATGTTGTTGATCTGCTGTTGTTGTTGCTGCCACCGTTCTTTTGTTCTCGCTGCTATGTGGCTGCATTAACACCCAAACAACGAGGATCGTACTAAAGATAAAGGTAAAAGCGAACATTTTGAGGCAGTGATGATATGACTCTTTGCAAATGGCGTTATTGATTTGCATTGAGATGGTCTTAAACTCGTATCTTGGCAGGGTAATCTGGAGGAGATTGCAGCCATGGCGGTTTTGAGAAACTCAATGCCCGATCATAGTGAGATTTGAGTCTCATATGAAAATAGCAAAAATCTCATTAGTTTAAGTCTGCACAAAGGAAGAAGGAGATTGAAGAAAAAAGAATTTGCTTTCTCACGCGCTTAACACAAGTGGGTTGTATTACACACACTGCCATATCAGCAGTGTGTGTCTAATTGGCACAATTTGTTTTCACTTAAAGTGCCCAATAGGAACTGCTGCTAGTTTAGGTGTCCAAATGAAAAAAATGGCCAAGTTTAGGGGCCTGGTTATGTATTCAGCCAAAGTTAAACCTATTAATTATCCATTGGTTATCTATTGATTATCCATTTTTAAGTGGATAATATGATTCTTATCCATATTTGACCCATTATCATTTTTTAAGTGGATAATATGTATGTATAACTGTTTTTTAATTCATTTTGCCAACACTAGTCAAGATGGATAACTTTTGCTGTTAAAAGGGTTTATCCCGTGCACGAAGTGCTCCCGGCTGGTGCACACATAAGAGAAGAGCAGTTTATAGAGTGGACATATAAACGGTGTGTAGTCTCTCCCTTGCACTTACGCAAAGAAGCTATTTCCATGCCTTGAATACATGGCCTAGATGTCACCATGACACAACTGTATCACTATGTCAAAGTCACAATTTTGCTCGTAAGCATTTGGAAATTTATACACCACAGCTCTACAATTCAGAAAATGTTAGTATAAAACAAATTGAACAATTACTATCATGTTACTATGAGGACTAGACTCATTCAAGAAATGTGTAAGAAAGAATAGAAGTGATTTACAGATTACAGTATATACAGCCTGTGAGCATATATTTGCAGAATATCTATTGGCTGGTAAAGTGTCAAAAGGTTTACTTGATGACTTAGTCTACACATCTATGACATATAGTAGTATGCTGCTTCAGTCCTTTCTGGGTAATGACATCTCAACTCTTGCCTACGCTGCTGCTTCTTAGGTGCTCCAGCACTGCTTTCGTTCCAGTGAGATATTCCACTAGTCCTTTCAAGTAGTCAGTTAGCAAAGAATTAACGAATGAAAAGGAAGTTTTACTCAACGACATGTGTAATGACTGCAAATAAATATGCATTTAGCATGTATAGGGCAAAAACTAAAGGTTTGCTTCCAATTTGGTTATAAGCAAAGGCAAATATTATTTTGAGTTGCATTTCTTTTACTGAAGAGAATTACCATTTACATAGTTTCGGCAGTCATGATGGTTTATCCTCAAGTCAGTTTCCCATCCTTGGTTGAATTTGTTTGCCGCATTTATTGCATCACTCTCGGAGTAGCCGGCAAACCAGCACTTCCTTGTCGGAAGCTTCTTCAGAGTCCTCGTACGAACAACTCCTGACATTGTATAAACTTGGAGACATGAATTACGTAGGAGACAATGTTGACAACTACCAATCAAACTCAAACCACAGACATGAACTAATAATGGTTAAGAGACAGGAAAAGCTTGTTTTTACTTCCATAAATCATTGGTGATCAAAGTAAAGTGCTCATTTCCTAGTGAATGATGACCGTAATGGGATGTCGGCTCAATGTGGAGGAAATTACTCGCAGAAGCTTGACAGACTTAATTGGAGTGGGACTAAAAATTGATCCCTATGATGGTCAATGCAAAAGAGAGACAAGAGTTTGGATATAATGCTGATACAGAAATGACCGAGTCTCACACATTCAGTGTCCAAATGCTCTAAGAACTTGTTTATCATTCAAATAAGCTGCAAAGTTAAGATTAAACAGTAATCCACCCATTTCTCTTGTGGATTTCAGAGAACAGTTCAAGTTGCCTAAGCATTTTAGATGAGGTATGATATTTAGTTTGAATAAAGACGGGGGAATTTTTATGGTCTATATATTCAAGTTCACCAAAAAGTAGTCGTTGTTTCTCTGAGTTTGTAAAACAATGGCAAAGTGATGCATCATATATAGCACTACTCATTTGTCCTCTCCTTCTTTGTTAGCAAATGGACGGCGGCCACAATCACAGAAAAGTTCAAAGTGCTAAAAGTTTTCACCTTCTACTTTTCTGCCAGATAGAGCCGCAACAGCAACAGCTATGCTTTCAGGATCTTGAGGTTGGAAATCATAGACCAAAGCCTACAACAGATTAGTAACCTGTTAGAAACCTTTTTTTTTTTTGGGTTTAATCACTGAGCATTTGAAACTCACAAGCTCGATTAATGCCGAGAGCCCCCTAAGTTAATAAATAATGAATGGATTGTTCTTAACAATGAAGAGATTGATATACATGAATTACTTACTTTAAGAGGGCATTATTTTCTTTAAATAGTTTAATCCCTGCATTTGCTACTCCCTCCGTTCCACAATAATTGACCAATTTGTTTTGGGAACACCCGTTAAGGAAATACTAAATTCTAGACAAAAATAGTTAGTGTGACTAAACTACCCTTAGTTAAATATTGTAGCATAATTTAATGTAAGGAGTAAAAGACTTTTTAGGTATACGTACATAAGGGTAATTTTAAAAAAACAAATTGAATATTTTCTTGATTATATAAATGGACACTTATTTGGACCAAAATAAAAAAGCAAATTGATGCTTATTGTAGACTTATATTGCCGCATAACTTAATGCGGGTTTTATTTAATAATTAATACTGCCAACCAAATTTTATGCAACCAACTAAAGTATTATTTTACGAAGGATGTCATACAATCAACAAACTACCCCTAATTTAGAACCTTCTGATTGAAAAGAAAAAGTAATATTTGAATTGGGTGTGAAAGAATCTAAGTTTTGAGGGCAAATGGAAAGGGAAGAGAAACCTGAGAGGAGGAAGTGGGATTGATGATGACCATGAAATGCTGCAAATCCCAGAAATTGAGAGAGTAAGCAGTGGACATGAGCAACTGGGCTGGCCCTTTTGTCGCTCTCAACGCCACTGCTGCTACGTATACTTCATCTCTTCTTGTTGCTACTGAGGCATTCCCTAACACAGAGCTCGACAGCATTTGCCTCTTTTTTTTTTTGTGTGGTTACAATTGGTTTCTTTGCCCACAAAATATAATTTTGATTTCTTTCACATAAATAACATGAATAAAAATGACAACTTTTTCTAAACTTAAAATTTCCTTAAAAGATTATGAAAACATTATGTTAAATTTGTACGTTTAAGTGATAATCTCTCTATGTAGGTTTCATAAAGTATACTCCAAATCGGATGAGTAGAAAGTTTAAGAAAGAACAATATTTTTAAAAAACTTATGGTTCAAATTTTAAAACAAATGGTAAACATCTCATTAAGGGTAAACTAAAAAGTTTAAAAATTTTATTTTTTAAATATTTAAATGTGTCGTGGTAAAAGAAAAAATATATCATATAAAATGAGACAGAGGATGTAACAGTAAATAAATTATGAAGAATGTGATAAAATAAATGCTAAATCTTACTAAGTATTCGAAGGTTCATAGAGCCAACTCCAACTAATTGAAGATCGATGTATTCTAATTTAATATAGGGGAAGAATCACAGTGTAAGTGCATGATGAAAGAGTAGCTTAAAGGATTTTTCAAAGAAAATAAATCAATCATATGAATCAACTAATCTGGAGATGATGCAGTTGATATGATAGGTAAAAATGAACAAAGAAAGCCAATAGTTATTATGACCTCGTAGTTACTGAGCAATCCCTTTTAGAAATCCGGTTATTTAATTTATGACACAATAATAAAGTAATAAATATGTTGTTTTACAGTTTACTTAACCTATATGTGAACCAATAATTCATTTCGGTATTCCCAACTAAAGAGATATGGTGGGGCAATAGCATAAGCTTTTTCCTCAAATTAGAAATTTTGTTCTCACTTCAATTTTCCTTAAGTTTTATAGTAGGTTTTATTTTATTGTTTTGCTCCCCTTGCAATGAAATATATTGAGTACACTTATTGCTACTGGTACTTTCTTTAACCTACAAACTTAGTATCAATGAACTATGTTGGGAATAAATCCCCCATAGTAATAATATTCACGGTAATAAAAGCGGAATAATAATGTAGCACTGAGATACGGTAATCAACAAGAATAAAAGAGTGACAACGACACCAAGAATTTTACGTGGAAAACCCTTCTGAATAAGGGAAAAAACCACGACCCCGAGAGGAGCAACTGATATCACTATAGCAAAAAATTTTACACTTTGTAGGCCCGAGTAAAATACTCCAAAGACCACTACAACATTCAAAAGAGATAACCCTCTTTTGATATTTTCACCTCACTACAATATCGCTCACACTCTCTATTTTCTCACAGACTATTTTCATATACCCTGTCTGTGATGCCTCACTCTTTCTTTCTCTCTTTGTTGGTGTGTTGAAAGAAGTGAAAGAGCTCTCCTTTTATAGGAGAAAATACGTAGCCTCCAAGAATGCTACAGGAGAATTGTTAATTCTCCTCCACAAATTTAGCCTTTGGCTCCAAGTCTCTCTGCTAACCTATCTATAGGCACATGCCTATTTCACTTATTTTATTGTTTGTTTTAACAATGGGTTGGACCCCATAATCTCCCCCTCCAGACCCATTCGCCGGAAGGAGGTAACACTGGGGTTGCTAGTTTGAGTGCATGCCGACAAGTTTTTTGCATAGCTCGAACTTGTCTCTTGGTACCACCTTGGTCAGCATATCCGAAGGATTCTCACTTGTATGGATCTTCTTGACCTGCATAGATCCATCCTCTATCTTTTCTCGAATCCAGTGATATCTCACGTCGATATGCTTCGTCCTTGCATAATACATGGTATTTTTGCTCAAGTCTATTGCACTTTGACTGTCACAATAGACTGTATATTCCTTCTGGTGCAATCCAAGTTCTTGAAGAAACCCTTTTAGCCATACCATCTCCTTGCCAGCTTCAGTAGCGGCAATATACTCTGCTTCACTTGTAGAGAGTGCGACACACTTCTGCAACTTCGACTGCCAGGATATAGTTCCCCCTGAAAAAGTGAACATGTATCCAGTAGTAGATTTACGATTATCAAGATCACCTGCCATATCAGCATCCGTGTAGCCCTTCAAGATTGGATCATATCCTCCAAAACACAAGCAATCTCCTGCGGTACCTCTTAGGTACCTGAGTATCCACTTGACTGCTTCCCAATGTTCTTTTCCGGGATTTCCAAGGAACCTGATAACTGTCACTCCTCCTTTTTCACTACACCCGCAAGGGCGTAAAGGAGTTTTTCCACTTAAAGGACAATCGGAACGGGATTTATTATTAAGATTCAGAGTCGCCACTTGGGAGATTAATGGTGTCCCAAGTCACCGGTTGAGTCCCGAACCGAGGAAATTATGACTCTGTTAACATTCCGCGAACCAGAAATCCGAGTAAGGACTTCTGTTAACCCGGGAGAAGGTGTTAGGCATTCCCGGGTTCCATGGTTCTAGCACGGTCGCTCAACTGTTATATTTGGATTTATCTGATTTCAAAACATGTTTTAGCTTATGTGCTTTTTAACCGTAAACCGCTTTTATTATTATTTTAACGAGAATTGCAACATCGTGAAAACGTGTCTCGAACCACGTCACATAAATGCACCCGTGGTTGTTGACACATTTCGACTTCGTTGAGATTTGGATTTGGGTCACATAAATGTGCACCCGAGTTTAGGAAGGTAATGTTATTAAAATACGCGCCTAAAGCAACTAGCGCGTTGTTCTCTTTTTGGAAAAGCCGTGAAATTCGCTAAACGGCCAGTCCCGAAATCTAAGTATTTCAATACAATATTTATTGAGGGCCCTGCAATTTATGGGTTTTGTTTGGCGGGGCGCACCTCATTTATTATTTAAAGGCTAACCTAAAGCAAACTAAGATTTTCTATTTAATTGTCTCTAAAAATAAAAGAAGAGGCTCTAATTAATTGGTATTATTAACTGAAAATCAATGGAGGCAGCCCAATGATGGTTTTCAATAAATTGGGCTTCCTTATTCATGTGAGTTGATTAAAGGTATTTAAGCACAGGCCTGGAACATGCCATTGGATGGCCCCAAAGATATGGTCTCATTTTGATTATACTACTGAGCCCATTATTGAGGGGTCATGCCTAAGGCATGCAGCTATAAGGACTTTTGCCATGGAGTGGTTTATTTCCAACTGGGCTTGGCATTTGGGCCCGGTGACCAGAAAAAAAAGAAGATGCAATGGCTAATCACTCAAATACTATAATTCAAATTAACTAAGAGACGACTTGATTCAATAGGCAATGCAATTCGAGCTCATTCTAGTTTGAGCGCTTATACATGTGGCAAAGATACAGTCATGTTGAATGTGAATAATGAATATCTCAACCTCAGATTCATGCAACAGTGGTGGATTCATAGACTTTATGACATGAAATTCGAGCAGAACTAGATTTATATACACAGCCATGATTAATCTAGCAGACAGGAAATTAACTACAGCTAGTCATGAAATTATTCTATCAAACGACTGTAAAATTAAATACGACTAATGTTCGACTCATGAAGCTCACACAAACCCGAGAAATAGCAATTAATACAATCCAATTAATACATAAATGAGCAAGGATCTAGAAGTAAACTAAATCAAACTTATGCTTCCATTCTTCACACAGATTCATTTCTTCACATTTCTAGCTCATAGTCATCAGAGATACAATTGTGTACCTGGAATTGAAATAGACGATGAGATATAGGAGTCAGCTACAGCAGTAATGAATAACAGCCCAAAATCACAGCAGTGGATCAATTTTAACTCCAAGATACCACAGCAAACCAAGGACGATTTGTAGAAGAATAAACCGTGACAAGCTACTGAAAATAGATCAATCTAGGACCAAGTAGACTCGAATTCAACCCAGGACTGCTTATTACCAGCAAATACCCAAACACAGCTTGACTAATACCCGAGACCACTTGCAATTGAACCTCAGAAAATTAGAAACTAGAATTAATAGCTAACTTGCAACCAATCTGAAAGAAATTTCGATGGAACAGTACTTCTTTTCGAATTTTCTATTTTTTTTTTCTTTTTTTGGTTTTTGAAGGTTTGGAATTTGAAATTCAAAATTAGACTTGAAACTTGTTGAGCAATTTTTGAGGGAAATTTTCAGATCTTTAAAACTTGTGATTCAAGGCAAGGGCATTGCCCTTTTATAGGCACATATGAGGCCATATCAGATTTTCAGCCTTTGCCACTTAGTCCCTCTTTTAAAAATCAATTTTATCTAACTAGTCCCTTAGTTATTGACTTGCTTCTCAAGTAAGTGCACCTATTTTCTGAATTTAGAACTAAAGTCCTATTCTAGAAGGTTCTAGGTAATTCTAGTATAACCTACAGCATTTCTGCCCAGCCCTAAGTACCCAAACTACCCCTGAACTTATTTTGAAATTACTACCCTAACACTTCAAGCTCCTTTACCTTAGTTGAACTTAACTATGGTTAATCAATAGACTAGGTTATTCAGCTATATCCAACCAGGTTCAAATTCAAATCCTAAATCCAAACTAACTACTGAACTTCAAGTTACCAATTACCATCAACAATCAAAACAACTCATCAATTGACCATCATTATTTCAGTATGAAATCAGATTTAAACAATTAAAGAACAATTAAACCTATTAATGAACTATTCTTGACAACTAAATCAGAATGAAACAATTAACTAACTAAAATGAGAATTGAACCTATCAACACAGACTTCTATTATTTTAAAGCAACATCAATCAAACATCAAACACTGAACAAGAACTAATTCTTAATAATGACAAAATTAACAGTTAACAAAAATTCGAACAACACTTCAAATAAGAACAACTTCAGTTACTAAACCTAGATAGATAACACTGAATCCACATCCATTAATGACACAAAGCAAACATGGAAGAGAAAATACTTTGAATAGAACTAAGAAACTCACTAGTATACTTTTATAGTCCCGCTTCTTAGATTTGAAATTCAGACCACTCTGGTGAAATTCGAATGCTATTGACAACGGATTCAACATGAGGGAGGCGAGGTGACCCTAGGGTGTTAATTTGAGGCCAATTGGGTGAACTAGGGTTTTGACGAAATCTTTGATTTGATATTCGAAGACTTTGACGGG